GACACGTAAAAATTTGGAAATTATTTATACAAATTTGAAAATCATATAAATAAAATCCAAATTTTTACGGGTCCCTGGTTACGTATACCTAATTTTAATTACATATAGAGTTAACTTTATAATTCTTAAAATGTTATAAGAATGAACGTTCTTATTTCTAGAAAAAATATTGTAAATTCGTGTTTATATACTCAAATGAAAACCTTAGTAATTTTATTTTATTTTTTTTTGTTTACAAAATTAAGCTTACGAAAACGTACTCTTCATTCACGATTCCCATTTTAAATTTATAAAGGGTTCATGTGGTTGAATTTCATTTTATTACTACCTAAAAAGGTAACATGAAAATTCCTAGATGTTTTTCTCGTGACCAAACAATCATCAAATCTTTATCAGATTAACCAAATATAACAAATTGATTTAAGATTTTAATCTGTTTACAAATAAATATTATACAATATTTGATATAAATAATCTTTTTTTTTTCTTTCGATCAATGTGTTAAAATTTTTGACGCAAAATGCTATCTTCTCGTTTTTCACACTGCGCACGATTTATTCGTGATATAAAAAATTCAACAGTATTTTCCGCTCTTCCATTTCATGCTTCTCGTGCTACCATTACGAGCTGGCAACATATTCCTCAAGGTATCTATTGTATTTATTAATTTTTTCTATTATTGAGCGAAAGAATAATGCTAAATTATCACTTTTATTAATTGTAATTATTAAAGCCCCACCGGATGCCATCCTTGGTATTACTGATGCCTTCAAAAAGGACATTCACCCCAAAAAAATGAATTTAGGTGTTGGTGCATATAGGGATGATAATGGAAAACCGTATGTTTTGAATGCCGTTAGAAAAGTACGTGAATTAGGAATTGGCATATACAAACATGTTGTAAGATTCAAAATTAGCCATTCTTGATATTTTGAATTAATTATAGGCCGAACAGAGGATTACCCAAGATAAACTTGATAAAGAGTATCTGTCTATTACTGGTCTTCCCGCTTTCACCAAAGAGGCAGCACTTTTAGCATATGGTAAAGATTCTGAGCCATTGCAAGAAGGGTTGGTAAGAGCAAACATCTATCTACAAATACTTATCAATTTGTATTATAATTCCTTCATAAATAATGAACATCTACCTTCACATCCTTCCCAGATAGCGATTACTCAATCGATTTCGGGTACTGGAGCCCTTCGGATCGGTGGCGTCTTCTTAAATCGATTCTATCCTTATCACAAAAAGATATATCTTCCAACTCCAACATGGGGTAACCATCCTGCCGTATTTAGGGATGCTGAGTTTGAAATTGCCCAATATAGATATTTTGATAAATCTACAAATGGTTTAGATTTCGAAGGTTTTATGGAAGATATCCGAGTAATATAGAATTTTTTTGCTTCTTGAACTCCTTAAGTAATAGTTTATATTATAAATTAACTGATCATGAAATTTTTCCAATCCAGAGTGCACCCAAGAATTCTATATTTCTTTTGCATGCATGCGCGCATAATCCTACTGGTGTTGACCCTACGCCACAACAGTGGGATCAAATTTCAGAGCTTATAAAGGTAAGCCTTTTTTAAAAAATTAAATAATTTTGAGATTAAAATTCTTTTATTAAAATTTTGTGTTAAACTTTGTATTAGGAACGTGGTCACTTTCCATTTTTTGATATGGCATATCAAGGATTTGCGTCTGGTGATATAAATCATGACGCGTATGCTGTCCGCAAGTTTGTATCTGATGGGCATCGAATAGCTTTAGCACAATCATTTGCCAAGAACATGGGGTTGTATGGTGAACGAGTTGGAGCATTCTCATTGATTACAGAAAATCCAAAAGAAAAGGCTGCAGTGGAATCACAGCTTAGATTAGTGATTAGACCGATGTATTCAAATCCACCTATAAATGGTGCACGAATTGCAAGTTATGTACTTAGCGATTCCGAATTATTTAAAGAATGGTAAGGTTTTTTGAATGTTGTAGTACGAGAGATTGTAGGGTAGAATAAGGACAGTGACAAAGATTACATAGATTACATAACATTACATTCATTTACTATACGCACTTACTTTCTCCCTACATAATATTTCATGCACGATTTTTCTCAATATGAACATACAATCTCTTCTCTATGATATTTACATAATATTTGTTGCTGCCCTAAGTACTTGACAATTTTTAATAATTAAAATAATGTGTTTAATTTTTTTAATTATTTTATAGGCTTAGTGAAGTAAAACTCATGGCTGATCGCATAATTTTAATGCGAAATAAACTTAAGCATCATTTGGTCGAAGATTTTGAATCCAAACTTCCTTGGAATCATATTACTGATCAGATTGGAATGTTTTGTTTTACTGGTTTAAAACCTGATCAGGTGAATAATTGAATATATATTTTCTTCGTTTAATACCGTGAATGTAATCTTAACGTTATCACATTTGTAATGTTCTATAAAGGTCGAACGTCTCACTCACGATTATCATGTGTACTTAACTAAAGATGGTCGTATTTCAATTGCTGGTATTTCTTCAAATAATGTCAAATATTTAGCTGAAGCAATTCATGAAGTGACAAAATAATCATTGTTGACTACCATTCATAAGAAATTTATAAACCATAGCCACGGGATGTTTAATTCTTTATACAAATTTTCTGTGCCTATTATTTATTTATCGATGATTGGTTTAAAATTAAACATTATACCAGATACGTGATTGTATTTTTCGCTTCTAAGGGGTTGATGGTAATAAAAGGTTACTATCGGAAAGAATGACTTGGGATCAAAGTCAGTCGCCCAAAATTTTATAAATTTTTAATTAGTTTGTTTTGTGAGATATATATTGCAAGTTGTTAATATAAATTACTTGCTTATAGTAAATTCTTGTTATAGTGAGGAATTTTTTAGAACAAAATCATTATCGTTGTTTCGATACATCGAAGTTAAATATTGAAGATTTACGTTATATTATAGTGAAGGTTTTTGCCATGTGATATTTATTGGCCAATTATATTAACAGAACTGCTGTCACGCACGCTTGTTTGACTTAAAAAAAAGTCGTACGACCTCTATTGCTGTAACAATTGTGTATCTGGTATCAATGATTGTAGCGTTTGAACACCACCTCAAAATTTATTTATAATTATATATATATATTTTAATTTGCTAATAGATTTTGTATATTAAATTCCCATTCATCCGTGAATTGTCAATTAATATCTAAGGTGGAGTCGGGTATTATGGCGCACTTAAGAGTCGCACATATAAAAATTTTTAAGTGAATTTATTTACAAAATTTAGCGAAATAAAGTAACAATCGATTTGCTATCTAAATATAAAAAAAAAATCGAGTTACATATAAAAAACCTTCGAAATTAAACAATTAAAAAACTGCTATGTTTTTTCAGGGTGGGGGTACGTACGACGTCGGATATTATGAAATTACGGGATATAGTAAAGATCACCAATCTCACATATCAAATATTATCATTTTTTTTATGTAACCGTTTTTCTTTTTTTGTTTACTTTTAGCTTTTTTTCATGCTTTCTCTGCTTTACAATTAGCTCATTTTTAGGCTGCTTCTTTCTTTTTTTTTTTGTTTGTTCTGCTTTATTCTTTACTAATTCGTTTATTTCTTTTAGTTTTTTTAAGGATTCTTCATTAGTAAGAAGCTGGGAAAATGAAATGGTTTTTTTTTTTTTTTTTTGCTAAGTGGGCTCTTTTTCACTACCTTGTACCAGAACTCGAGAAGTAGGATACTTGAGAGTCAATTTAAGTAAGCAAGTACCAGAAGCTTTGAACATTTTAAGCTCCTTTTTTAGTAATTCATTTTTTCTTCTTAAAGCATAAATTTTAGCTAATACAGTCAGACCTCCCTAAATGCAAGTTGTCGGGACCAGCTCTAGAGCGTGCATTTAGGGAGGGTTGCAATTAGAGAACACTAATAAAATCATAATGTTACTATT